AAAGTATTTTCAAAGATAAACCATCGACAGTTTTAAAGTGTGCATTTAGTCTCTGTTCGGCAGTGTCCACATGTTTACATTGTGATTTGTGACAAAAAATTAATTACATTTCAAAATTTTATCAACCTTCACTATAAAATGAGACGCGTACTATTTAAATAATTAATCTGCACAAAGTTTATTAACATTTTCAAACAACAAATCTAATGGCATATTTTCGGAACAGATAAAAGTGAAAATGTACAAACGTTGACGACTGACCAGTTTGATATGAAAATATGTTTCAAGGGAATACCGAACATCAACTTAAAGTATACATTTTATTTGTTTCTTGACTTGACTTGACTGTTGATAAAATGCTACAGTGTTTTTGTAATATAAAAGTAAACGGAGGTATACAATAGAAGTTAGCGGGAGCTTCGTAAAATCCCACTCCTGGTATTTGAAATTTAACGTTTTCTGTGGAAGCATGTAATTTGCCACTCCCCCTTGGGCAATCAATTTTTGCAGAGTCACGTGACCAGCCGATACCAGAGTCTTTCCCAAAAAGGCCCTGGGTACGAGGATGAGTAAACAGTGGCTCCAGCTAAAAACGCTGACTGGGCATATTTTTACGCGAGTGGAAAGCATTTCTCAACTATTACTGTGTATTTGTTCAAAATCTAATCAAGCTGTCGGTTCTTGGACATTAGGAAGGAAAATGTTGGAGAAGAACAATTGTGATGACAATCAGGTTGGAGGCCTACCAGTAGGCCTGGCTGATTTTGGATTCAAGTCATCTGAGGAGTGCTACTACCATTTTGCACATCATAGGGTCTGCAACCCTGTCAGCTCCTACAATTTTAAAAGGATTCTTTCCCGAAAACAACAGTAAAATATCTATGTTTAACTACAGGTTTAATTCTTGTTATTAATCTGAAACAAAAATTCCTGTCATTTTGGAGAACTGTGTATGAAGAAAACCATGCATATGAAATCTAGTTGAAAGAAAAACAATATTTTCTGAGAAATAATAGCCTGGTTAGTAGCTCATTGGAAACGTATGTGAATTGCAATATGTTTACAACAAAGTTATATATAAAAATACAACAAATTACAAATGCGCTGGAATATAAAAATGGTAAAATTGTCTTAGTTTAAAATCAGAGAGAGATTGGAACTGTTTCGAAGATTTACTGTGACACATTGTTCACGAGTGGGGGGCAATAGATGATGGAGCAGCGAATCTGGTTTATTAATTTTTGTTAATACTTTCTGACAGATTTCAAGGCGTCTTTCGTCCAGTCGGCTAAAGTTAGCTGCAATCAAAGCTTCGCTGTAATGATAATTAGGGAATATTAAACGCATTGCGCGTAATTTTTGTATCATTAATATTTTGGTACAGAGATATTCAGGGATACTATTGCACCACAAAACACAACAACATTCCAGAGTAGACCGTACAAGTGAAGAAAATATGCAGGTAAGATCATTGCTTGGCACACCAGCTTTTTTAAGCACTCTGATTATATGTAACGTTTTGATCTTTGCTAATTATTTCGTTGGTGTTTTTATTCCACTTCAAATGGTCCATTATGGTCATGCCAAGTACTTTGTGAGATACTACTTTATCATTTAGCAACAGGGGTGCTAAATCAGGCGTATGCTTTAGTGGGCAAACCACCATCTCTTTGCATTTCTTGGGGTTGAGATTCATGTTGTTATCTTTCGCCCATGCCGAAATAGTATCGAGGTCGGTCTGAAAAACGGAAATTGATTCAGTCTTAACTACTTCTGACAATGTCACATCATCGACAAACTTCCAATGATCTGCTATAAGTGGGGATTTGACTGCGAGATCGTTAATCATTATAGCAAACAAAATCGGTCCAAGTTTTGTTCCCTGTGGAATACCAGCACGGCAAAGTTCCCAGTCCGAAATGAGAGAATAGAGCTTAACAGCTAGCTTGGCGTCGGTCACTAAGAAAACTACAAAGCCAGGCAATTAATGATCTCCTCACACCAAGATCGATCAATTTCTTCACTAAAACATTATGATCAATATGGTCGAATACTTTGCTAAAGTCCAAATAACAAATCCTTAGGTAATGATCCGGTTGATCTAATGACGAGAGCCAATTTTCGAACATGTCCAGAAGGCAATAGGTGGTTGAAGAGAACCGAACTGCTGTGGGTCAATTTTATGTCGGACGTCTTCTTCAGTCATCCATTTTAGTGCAAAATCCTCCTGAATCTTTGCAATACATGGAGTGAGGGAAATAGGTCTAAGGTCTCCATTGGCCGTTACTGGGGTGGCTTTAGGTATAGGGGATATAAAAGAATCTTTCCATATCGTAGGAAAGATGCAGGCAGAAAAGGACGCGTTAAAAATTTCCGTTAAGGGTAGGGAAAGTTCAGGGGCAAAGATTTTCCAGATGCGATTTGGGATGCCGTCAGGTCCAACAGATTTGAAAGCGTTCATCTCAGACAGTTTTTTGCACACCTCACTTGATCTTATCTCCGTCAGTTCGTATTGAGCTGAACGCGTCCATATGGACGACCTGGTAAAACGCCTCAAACGGCGTTTGTGATTTTCAGTTCCGTCTCCTGTACGATGTCCGTCAGGGGGCATTACTGGGTTCCAGGTTATGACATTATGATCACTAGATCCTAACGGTGCAATGGTTTCTGGCTTATTATAGAAATCAGTTATTATTAAGTCCGACAGTACTGTACTGTGAGTAGGAGATTCAACAACTTGTTTGAAATCATGGTGTAACAATATGTCAGATATATTTAGTCTGTTGAAGTCACCCATGATAGCAAAACCACAATCTGGATAGTTAGAACGTGCATGGTCGGCAGTGTCCACAATATACTGAATAAGATCTTTTAATTCTTCTGCTGATTAACCAGGGGGAATGTAGATGACACCAAACATCATATTTGTCATACGCCGTGGTAAACGACGTGGCCGGAGGTTCACCCACATGCATTCGTAAAGAGGATTTTCGAGGTCGGATGTACGTTTGGAAGGAATACTATGGGAAACATATAAACACATGCACACCTCCACCACGACCACCAGACCTGTCTCTTCGGTGTAATGTATAACCTCCAATATTAACAAGGCTATCATCTAGCCCACCATGCAGCCAGGTTTCCGTTATCGCTGCCACATCAGTCCTCATGGCATCCAAGGTAGCAGCCAGTTCATCTATATTAGGCCACAACGAACGTGCGTTACAAAGTAGAATACGTGGCAGGCGCGAAGTTGATCCTCTATATTTCCGCTCAAAGGGACTTTAAATTAAATTTGATCTGCGTACTTTATTACTACAGTTTACGCTTTTAATACGGTTTGAAATTATGGCCGGAATAGTTCTTTGATCTATTATCGTCTTAGGGAGGGAAGGGTCGTCTATCATATTAGGAATAGTGGTTAAGTCATCGAGTTCGGCACAACACGATTGAAGTGGAAAACTGGTTTAAGGATGGAACGGAGGCATTCGGCCTGATGTGCATGGTCAGTACAACGGACACTTTACACGCCGATCTTGGTATCTTTCTTCAGGTGTTTGTTGTTCCACACTCGCCTGTATAGAATCTTCCAAATGCACTGCTTGCCTTTGTCAATCTGCTGTCAATTTCATTATCGATTTTGGTATCTGACGTAATGGTGTAGCCAAGGTAGCTAAACTGTTGGACTGTTTTCAGCTCTGATTAGCCGATGTTGACATGAGGTGGTTGGTAATCCTCCTGATGTGTGGGCTGGTGCAGGACCTCCGTTTCTTTAGGCTGACTTTAATTCCAAAGAGTTATGCTGCCTCTGCGAAGCAAGATGTTATATGATGTTGGGAAGTCTCTGTCTAGGCGACAACTGCATCGCTCTCTGACCGGCCCGTTGCTCCAGCATCTTCTTATGGGCCCGCAGACACCTCAGAGCCAACAGGCTATCGTCAGTGCGGCAGCGAATGGAGTGCTGTCTCCATTATTAAGATCTCCTACAGCCTGTGCCCTGTGGAGATTCCTTGGAACAAACGTTTCTCCAGTGTCCATGTACAGCGTAATGATAACTGAAGCACGGAGATCTTGCAGTAATTTTCCCTGCTCCCGGGTGTAAACAAAGGAACTCGTTAAGTTTAGTTTGTAAAATTGTGCCACTGTGCTTCCATATCTCCGGTGGGATGCCATTATTCCTGCGACCTTGCCACTCTATATTTGCTAAATAGTCTTCTTAGTCTCTTCGACGGTTTGCATGTCATCTAGTGCAATCTTCACCGGTTGCTGAGGGATGTGTAGAATTGTAGAGTCTTAGACTGTACACTGAGTCGAGTAAAGAGGGTCTAAAAGTGTTGGAACCAGCGACTTAAGTGGTATGGTTAGACTCGAATTTATAAGTACGTGGTACGGTTAGATTCGAGTCCCGAAATTGATTACACTATTATTAGGAATAATTTGATATACTAAAATGGTAATTTAAGTCAGATAAAAAATTAAAAACATGCAACAGATACAGAGTTCAATATAATTCTGAAAACTTTGTCTGACATTGTGTCAGACTACCCCATGTTTTGGTCGGACACTTAATTATTCTCAAGAGGGACATTGTCAGTTGTCACAGAACTAGAAACCAAAACCGTACCAACTACCAAAAGTCCAAAACCATATGTATAATGGTTAACAAAATTACACAATATCAACATCTTACTCAGTAACAGTATATATATATATATATATATATATATATATATATATATATATATATATATATATATATATATATATATATATATATATATATAGCTTAAGATTTTGGTTTACGAAACACAAACAGTGCTCAATACCATATAGATAGAGCGTAATATAGTTTTTCGTTTTACCTCAAAAAACCACAACAGTCTGTTTCATCCGTATAGGAATCATCAGGTGGTGAATAATTTCGAAATTGTACCAGTGGCGAAGCTGAGGGAATTCGACTGGTCGTGCTCTAAGACCCGCACAGGCTAGGGGGGTCCGGGGGCATGCACCCCCGGGAAAATTTTGATTTTCAAAGTCTGGAATGGCCATTTCCTGCGATTTCAGGGTGAAATTCATGCAAAGAAAGCTACAAAAAAAGTGTGATATAAAGAGGAAAATTCTTAATACTTCTTGTTTTTGAAATTTGTATTTCCACAAAATTTAATTTTATTTCACTATATATTTAAACTTATCTGCAAATGTCGCTCAATATTGGCAGAAGAAAGAGGAGAATATTGTATGACTGTGTACATTTTAATACCCTGCTGAGTGCTGTAATATGATCTTTCATTTGGAATTGCGTAAAGGTCAACTGTAATGTACTATAGCTACAAGGACCTTGTGAACCTGAAGCAGAAACCTAATGTTGAAAGATACACTGTTTAGATATTTGGTATATCTGTAAACCTCCAATTATATAAGCACTTTTGAATAAAGCAAATGAACTGGTAGTTAATATATTTTTATATCAATAGGAAAGGTATTCACAAATCTTGTTTATTATATTCGCCATTATAATACAGTAGAATACACAATCGAGTCTGTTCACATGCATTTCGTGAGCTAAAATATCTTGTTAGAAGCCAGAAATATTCTATCCAAATCAACATGGCATTCCTACTATTCACTCGATTGACGTTGGTCAATTTCCATAGATACATAACCAAGATCACTTGAATAAATCTCGACAGAATTGCTGAATAATTTACGGCATTTAACTTGGTCGTGCTTTCGAAGATGAGCACGACCAGAAGATAAAATTCGGCGAGATACGCATGCGCGAGGAGCAATTTAGCCAATAGAATGCTTTGGAATTTATAATTTAGTCGTGCTGGCCTGACGAGAGCACGACTAACGGGCGGATTACCCATTAGTCGTGCTATTAACCCGCGGTCGGGTGAAACTACGCAATCATACCTTGAATTGGTTTAAAATCAGGGCAAAATCACCGGATTTGAAAGGATTTCGCACTTAATAGATGACGCAAGTGTACGATGAATCATTTTTAAAATTTTTGGGGAATTTTTTTCTAAAGACTAAAAAATTAGTTTCGCCACTGGATACTGCATGAATACAATTCAACAAGTATAACATGACTATCAGCACATTGACATTGGACAAGAAATCTGGGAAGACCAGGCAGCGCTATAAACCACTGCAGGATAGTGATTATCAACTTTGTAAAAATGCTTGAAAGCTATAAAACTATAGATATGGATATCACAATTGATAAGATACTAAAGCTTAATATAAACAACAACGATCGATAAATTTAATAAAAAGCTTGAAAATCTGTGGATCGCCTGGTCCCAGAGGCGACAATTTAGAAGCAATCGTTTACAGTGAGAAGAGCATATAGATTATAGATACCAGTGCTGGAAAATGTCCGGCAGTACCAGCTGCACGGAAAGGTTAAATCTTTTTTACACCTTGCAATATTAATTTACTCATTGTTCAAAATTCCAAAAGCATTTTGCAAGTCGAGATTATCTTGTGGCGAGTTTGAAGTTTATCACACTGTATCGTAATGTGTGGTCCAAGTATGTTACCAGAAATCTACATATGCAGGGAGTTTTATATCATTTGACTTACACCCTGACTTACACCCTTTGCTTTAACCCTTAAAGGCAGTTCATAGCAATATAACATAGTCTTACGAGAATACCACTCTTATACAAAGGCCCACATAATTTCTTTGTTCTAATCTGGTGTCACATAAAACAGTCATGCCTATGCCAC